TGTGTGTGTGTGTGTGTGTGTGTGTGTGAGAGAACTCATCACCATGATCTCTGCTTTCCATTCGATCGGAGGAAACATGGGCGGAGGAGGAGGGATGAAGACGTCACATTTCAAAGCCGACCACCTGCCGGGTGGAAACTCTACAGACGGACAGAACACGCGTGAAACTTCCTGTTCGACCTCATCACACACGCAACACGAGGACGAGAATATGACGCAGACTCGCTGACTTCATCGGTTCCTTCTCGGAAACCTGATCATTTCTGGAACTTTAGGAAAGTTCTGATTCCAATCCAGTTTATTTTTTGTTTGAAACGTTTAAAATTAGACGCACGAACCGAAACAGAAGCCGTCCCATGTTTGGTGACGTCAGTCTGGTGTTTGCACTTACTGGTTGTGACGAGGGAAGCCGCCGGCTGGAGGCCACTGAGCAAGGCGGTCCATCCCAGAACCAGCTGAGTCAGCATCTCCTCCATTCCTGCAGCAACCACATGTTAAAGGACCAGTGTGGAGGGTACAGCGACATCTAGTGGTGAGGTCGCAGATTACAACTCAAGGATCCTCCTCTCACCTCTCAATAATCAATCTACGGTGGCCTTAAGGTAACAAAAAAACTACAGGAGTTCCTCTCTAGAATCAGAGAGAGACACAGCACGAGTCATCCGGACCACAAACCATGAGCGAGAAGAAAACCGCTCCTAATGAAGCAGCAGGTGAAAAATGCCAGGATGTAAATGGACGTTCTTCGTTTTAACGATTCACAACAAAATGCAAACACATCTTTTAAAAAAAAAAAAAAAAAGATCAAACTCCACAAAAACACAAAACATCTGGAGTCACTCTGGAATAAATCTCTGATAAACCGATGACACGTGTCTGCACTTACGTTTCTAATCTATTTTAGTAAGAACGGGAGATTTAAAATGATATTTCACTTGTTCACAGTTTGTAGATTTCACAATTAGAAACTTATTTATCCCCAAACAGACACAGATCACGTCGCTTTTCAACAAGGTAACAGAATTTACAATAATAGACAATCAACATGACTCATTTCCTGATTTATCCATGAAATATGTGTTTGGAAAAAAAGTAACCCAGTGAAACGGATCGTGCATCGAAAGATCATACTCAAATTATTTAACATGTTTTATGATCCCGATCATCTCTGACTCATGTTCCATGTTAACCTGTGTGTTCAGTCCAACCCGTGTTGTGCGTCTTACCTCGGTGATGTCTCCCGTCCTCGGCTGCGTGGACGCTCTCCTGCAGTGGAGGCGTCTGTCGGAGCTGCTTCTCTCCCTGGTCTCCGTCCAGCAGAGCCTGGAGAACAATCTGCTACGCTTGCACAGCGACTCCCAACCTGTCTCAATAAAGCGTGGAAATGCAACGCAGCCCCTGGCAGCGCTCTGCGGGAATAATCAGATAATTACTCGGCACACTGAGCCAAAGAGAGGCCGGCTCATCGGGCCACGCTGTCCAGGAGGAACCGGCTGAGAGGAGTCGACGGCACCTTCTGTCATTTTGTATCATATCACCATTACTGTGTTTACATCTCACGCTTTGAGGCAAGCTCCTCACGGGAAGCAGAGCAGGTGAAGTGTTGCAGGTGTGGAGAGCTCACGGCGAGGTCAACGGGAGAGAGGGCTCGGACAAGACTTCAGGAGTGAGGTCAAAGGTCAGCGACAAATCTTAATACAGTCAACACGTCGATTCACAGGAAACACTGACAATAACGTTTTAAATGTGGTCATTTTGTCAACACGCAGCATCCATTACTCTTCTGTCCTCGTTGACCAGACGACGCTGCACTTGTTTATTCGCCCTACGAGGCAAATTGTGATTTGTGAATATGGTTTAAAACAAATTAATGATTTATTGATGGACGGAGCTGCCGACGATGAACAAAATCAAAATACTGATTTAATTTGACATTGATGCCAGCGATTCTTTTTTTGTCTTTCAGCCGAGCCGCAGCATCTCTTTAAGATTGTTGTTTATAAAACCTGACTGAGAAAATCTCATTCCTTAAATTCTACAAACAACTTTGACCATTAAAAACTATAAAACACAACACGTCTATGCAAGATAATCGTCCCTTCTATTCAAAATTAAACATTAGTGTCCATCCAAATGTTGAAAAAGCTCCTCCCTAAAACTCACTTGCTTCTTTCTCATGTTTAAAAAAAAAAAAAAGCTTTAAGACGAAATGTTAAAAGTCCTCATCAGTTATTTTATTTAAAGTATTTAAAAGTCACAAATAAAGAAGTGCAGACAGTTCTAATGTTTGTTTCTTTACATTAAAAATGAGATAAGACGTTTACGTGAGACGACAGGAAAGAAACCTAGAAGCTACAAAACTGTACAAGAGCACTGATGAGTTGCAAACGGCCCGAACAACAGGCTCGGGGGAGGAAGTGACGTCGTCTGTGCCAACATGTTTCAGAGTATGTTCCACTGCATCAGTGCCTTATTACAAAGTCTACAGAGGGAAAATACTGTCCCGTCCCTACTACGGCTATAAAAATCTTTAGTCACAGCTTTAAAAAAGTGTGAACGTGCTTCCCTCTGAGTGTTTATTAAAATGTTATTAAACTACCCAACAGCTCAAGCTACAGAGATAAAAGTAATGTGCTGTGAGAGTTCATTTAAAAAAAAAAAACCTTTCTCAAAGAAAAAACTTCAAAAAAGCTGCGAAAAAGGCCAAAAAATATATTGGATTCAAAAGGTAAAATCATCTGATTCAACACAAAGTCTGGCTGGATATTAAAAAATATGTCCATCTACTTCATGTGCCCCTCCAGGCCTGTGCAGCAGTCTGACCACCAGGGGTCGCTTCATGTTTTGCCGTCCGTCTGGCAGAGGCGCGTCTGCAGCTCGACCACCACGCGGCTCATCATGCCTCCCAGCTGATCGTGCATCCGGACGAGCTGCTGCGGCGAGCAGCGACTGAGTTCTAGTGGCGTCATCCTGCAGGTGAGGGCCTCCACGTCCGACAGGAGCCCGTCATCGTGAAGCGGTCCTTCCCGTTCTGCTCCTGTCGGCGTGTCGGGCGTTTGATTAGCGGAGACGTCCTGGTGCGATGTTTCATCTGCAGGAACGGGTTCGTCCACCAGCTCCGTTGCTGCAAATAGAAAATTATATAGTTGAACGTTTAAAGTTTTTGGTGAAATGAATCCCTGAGGACACGGTGCTGGGAGACGGGGATATGACACGACGACCTTTTCACAGATCAAGGCTTCTTCTATCTTTATGCTAAGCTAACTAGCGTGTGAATGTAACCTCACATTCAGTGTGCAGACATGAGAGTGACACCAGTCGTCTGATTTCTCTTTCGTTATATAAATAAAATAAATATTCTTCACCTTTTCAAACAACAGTTAACCCGGCTTAAGTGTTAGAGTAAATATAAAGTATATAAAAATACTTTTTTTACACACCGAGAGTCTCGCCTGAGGTCTTATCCTCGTCCTCCTGGTTTTGAGGAGCACTGGTCTCCTCCAGTTCAGACGTCATCATCTCCATTTCATCAAAACTCTTCAACTCGTCACCACCTCGACCTTTACGCTGGAAGAAAACAACTCAGGTGTCAAATACGAGAAAACTATTTATTTTGAAAATGTTTTTTTTTTTGTCTTGTCACACTGCCGCCCTCTGTCCCCTGACGTACCTGCTGTTCGTAAAACTTAAGTGCCTTCTTGACATTGGAGATCTTCGGGGAGCGGATGGGCAGAGTCTTGATCTCGTGGGGAGTTAAAGCGCTGAGGTCTCCGACCGTTTTGATGTTTCTGGCTCGAACGAGCTGCCCGAACCCCCGGGACCTGTTTCGAGACAATTCAAAGATCTCATTCATTTCTGCCGATTTAAAAATGACAAACAGAATAAATTCAAAACGCGTGCTTCACTCACCACAAGGTGGAGGAAATCTGAGGCAGCACAGCTTCTACGGGTGCAGAGCAGCCGACCAGGGCCGGATAGATGCAGTCTCTGGGGACAGGACGAGGCTCCTGGCTCATCTCAGAAATCTAGAGAGAACAAAATGAATGAATCAAACATTAAGACCAAGAATCACCAAATGACTTTGGAAAACAACGTTGCCGTCACCGACGTCCGCGTGTTGATTGGACGTTGCTGAGCTCGACTTATCGACCAGCGATGAATGCACAGTAACTGTTCCACCTCAACGTCTGTCCAATTTTACACCAATGCTAATCTTCATTATCATTTTCTGCAACCAAGCAACTAACTAGAGATCCTGCAGCTACAGGATCAGATACGTCTCACAGAAGTTAATATTGGAAACGATTGCTGATGTTGCCATGTGTATTTTGGATGTGTCGTCCTAAATCACGAGCCAGGACTCCCAGTGCTTGTTTGACTCCTGCTCCCACCTCTACTTGAAAATGACTATGATGAATGCGGACTAGTCATGTTGGCACATACCAGGCATTTCTTGGAGCTCTTGGAACCTGGACTGCGCAGATTCCTGGGGCTCAGGATCAGCAAGCCCTTCGTCGGAGTCGTGACATACTGGAATAAAGAGCAGATAATAGTCATGGGGGGGGGGGGGTGTCGATTCAGGAAATGCAGTAATTAAAGTACAGTACTGGGCTCAGTCATACTTTGGGTTGAGGGATAGCGCTAACTTTGGATCTTCTGGGAGAACTGGTTCTGATGGCGGGGCTGCGACGATCAATGTCGTCCGCGATTTCCTGCCGCTGGATCGGATTGGCAAAAGACACGCGTCTGGACTGGGAAGTTAAAGCAGAGACAAAAAACAAGTTCTGTAAAAAAAAAGCTCATAACTGTTCACGAATTTACCGATCTCAGCTCCGGCTCTTACTTTGACGAGAGGCGAGGGGGTCTCATCCTCTAGTGGTCTCTTCTGGCCCTTCTTCAGAATACTGGTGGAGGGGGAGGCTGAGGGAGACCAGGTTCCTCTGGTCCTGCCTCCGCTGGGGCTCTGGCCAACATCTAAGCCCATGACAGCCTCCAGGTCCTTCTGCCTCACTGGAGAATCCTGAAAAGCATCTTTGACAGAAGCGTCCGCAGACACCGGAGCATCGCACAGATCTGTAAGAGCCGCATCCAAGTTCACGACTACATCGGTCTCAGCATCGGCCGCCGGCGTTTGCTCTTCCTCCCGACACTCCGGCATCTGGGTGCTTCTGTCATCATCATCATTCTCCGGTAGAGGTGTGATGTCTTCGTCCACGCTGACCTCTGTGGGCTGGTCCGACGGCTCCTCCTCTTTTGAAGGCTCATCTATGACATTTGGAAACTCAACCTGGTTTCCATCTGGAGATGCATCTTCCACTGGAACAACTGGATGTTCTTGGTCCGAATCAGCTTTTTCATTTTCTTTATCACTGTCCCCAGTTTCAGAAACGTCTTCAGCTTTGTCCTCTGGACACTCTGAGACCTGAGGTGTCTCCGTCGTCTCATCCGGAGACACCAGCGTTCCAACAGCAGGTGGCGAATCTTCCTGTATCTGCTCATTACTGACCCCAACTGCTTCAGGCACTTCGAAGGCCTCAGTGTCTTGAGAAGACGTATCATCAGTTTCTGTTGGAGAGTCTCTTTGCTCGTTCTTGCTCGGTGACACATCGGTTCTCTCTGTGTCATCGGTCTCAGATTTCTCAGGAACGACGGGCTCCGAGGCCACAACAGCATCAGCCTCTACCTCCGTTGGTGATTCGTGGTTACGTTGCTCCTCCATTTCAACTTTATCCTGGACTTCATCTGAAACCGTCTCAGCCGTGGCTTCCATTATTTGCGTATCTGCTTCTTGAGAATCTTTAACAACATTCTGTGTCACATCCTTATCGATTCCATCTATTTTAGAATCGACGACGAGAGGAATCGGGAGTGAAGCTCGCGGTTTCCTCCCTCTCTTTTTGGGCATGACAGTAACGTCTCTGGCCTGCGAGGATTCAGACTCTGAAGACTCCAAACTGGCCACTAACCCTGGGGAAGACTTTCGTCTGGAGTATCTGCCCCTGCCTTTGGACTCTGATGATCCAGGAACATCTGACGACTGAGAACCCTCTGGGGTTGAGCCAGGAGTTGATTTGGACAAATCTTCTTGTGCTTTGCTTCTTCTGGTTTTACCTCCAATGCTGGCCTCCGCCTGAGCAACAGCTGATTCAGTTGTCTTTGAATTGGACCGACTCCGTCTTCCTGATGAAGACTGACTGTCACTCTTGTCTTCGGACTCCGCTGCCTCAGATGAGGGCTTGCTTCTACTGGATCTACGCCGAGACTGGCTTTCAGAAGATACAGGTGTGATCACTTCAGAGTCCTCTTGACTGAGGTCATCATTAATGCTAGTGCTTGTTTCTGGTTTGCCTTTGACCTCAGATTCATTCTCCAGCTGGTTTGTTGCGTCGGTTCCGTCTTGGGCCTCGCTGGTTGAGACCAATATTGAACAATCTCCCTTTTCCTTTTTGGTCTCTTCTACAAGCTCTAAATCTGGGGATTGGCCATCAGTTTGAGAAGAGGTCAGGATTTGAGAATCTTTTGGCTTAACGGCATCTTTTTCAGTTTGTTCCACAAGTTCAACCTCTTGGGATCTGGCACCAGTTTGTGGGGAAAGAGTAACAATCTGAGAGTCGTTCTTTTGTTCATGATCATCCTTTTCCTTCTGTTCTACAAGATCAACTTCATGTGAGGCAATTTGTCTAGACTGTTCTTTCTCATGCAAATCCTTCGTTCTCTTAATCTCTAATGATACTTTTCTTGGGCGACCGCGCTTTCTCTTTGACTGGCTGTCACTGTCGGACTGCAGATCAGTTTGACTGGACTCTTGCTCTATGGTGCTTCTTCTCCTTCCTCTTCTGGGTTCAGGGTTATCGAGTAACTCATCTGAATTGCTGTACAGTTTGATTTTCTTGTGGGCTCTACCCTGAGACTCGGTTTGGCTCGTCTCACTGTTGTCCCTCTGAGCCCTCAATCGTAATCCATCCCTGCTGCCAGCTTCCTCAGCTAACTGCTGACTTCTCCTGGTTACTCTGTTCTGTGTTGGGTCCGAGTTCGGAGAATCATTGTTGAGCTTCTCTCCAGAACGTCTCCTTTTAACATTGTGTTTTTCTTCCCGTTCTTCAGGTTTGTCTCCGAGCAGCACCGGTTTGACTCTGCGGCGCCCAGATCGTCTGGTTTCCTTTTGAGAATTCTGCGACATAGAGGACTGAGAATCGTTCAATTCCTCTTCCTGACTCGATGTTTCCTCCGCTTCAGTTTGGGTGTCTGGGATAACATCTTCGTCCTCTGTCGTGTCACTGGGCAGTCTCTCAGTCAGCCTGACGGGCTCGCTTTTAATCCCAGAGTCTTTCGGTCTTCGAGGGGACTCGGAGGCATTGTTAACAGGATGCTGCGATTCCATTCTTCCAGGGGATTGGGAATCCAGAGAGCTTGGACCAGTGGATGTCTGTGAAGCCTGAGAAGACGATGCCTTGCTGGTGTTGGAGCGTTCTTGGCTATTGGACGACTTGACGAGAGGACCTGTGAATGTGGACGTACTGCTGGGGCTGGAGGGTTTTCCCTCAGCATACTTCTCCAGAGTGATAAAGGACTGACGCCGACTGTTGGGTTTCTGAGGCGTCCCTGAGACCAAATCTGAGGAGCTGGAGATGTTAGGACTTGAGCCGTCTTTAGACTGTACGTCCATGTCTTCTGCTGTATCACCACTCTTGGCATCGTCCTCCATGGAAACATCTGATGGCTCAGGGATCATTTCTTCATGCTGGTGGTTCTCAGTCTCTTTTTCTTTCGGGCAGTCTCCAGTCTCTCTTGCTGCAATTTTATTGGTTTCTTCATTTTCCATATCTTCCTGTGGAACCTGGAAGAAAACAAAGTTGAGTAACTAAATCTGTCAATAAGTAAATGAAGAAATCTGACCTGAATGAATTACTGGAAGTCGTTACCTTGTCAGGAGCTTCTGTGGGGACCTCGTCAGCTTGTTCTGTTTGCAGTTTCTCCCTGTGTGGAAAATTATTTATTATTTGAACATTGTGTTTTTACGAGGGATCAGAGATTTGTCTTGATTCTAGTAGCAGATGCTCAAAACTTACGAAGAGTCCTCTTGGCTCTGAGTGTACTGAGTGAAAACTGTTGTATCCAGAGAAGCGTCAAGGTTGTTGTACATGGCCGGAATATCAACCCTGAGATATCGAGAACACAACGTCACAAATCTGACTACATGGGCACTTCAATTACATTTTATTTAGATGAACAGAGAGAGAACAAATCTGACCTTTTAGTCCTTTTCACCTCCTTCTGGTGCTCTGTCAAAACTCTCTCCTTCGTCTCAGGAGGAATGAAGACAAAGTCGATGGAGGCCTCTTCCTCCAAAACCTCTCGGCGGGGGGGCTTGGGAGAGCCAAAATCCAGCTTTGTCTGCTCAGGGGAACACGATGGAAACCAGTTGAGCAACGGTCAGATGGAAGGAAATTAAAAAACAATTGAAGAGTTTCGTGATATCATGCACACGAATCTCTTGCTGAACTTTATGTGGATTAAAAAACAATATTGACTGCAACATGCGTAGTTTATCACTTAATGAGTTCGACTCACAGAAACTGGCTTGGACGTCTTCGGGGAGCTCTTGTCCTTCCCCAGCAGCGAGTCCCTCTTTCCCACTGACAAAACAGGAATCCCGCTGAGCTTGGTCTCTAACTGGGAACTCTCACCCTGAAGAGAAGCACAATCAGCCAGAACATGATAAACAATCAGCACTGAGAGGACGGTAAACCTGTGATGAGGTCATTTGCGGCAACTCACTGAATATTGGCCACTGAGCTCTTCAGAAACCGCGACGACCTCAAAGCCGGGAAGAATGATCGGGATCTTCTGCTTCACTTGGCTCAGGATCGGTCTGAGTAAAGAAGACGGCAACAAAAAGAATCAGCGATGAAGTCACGTGTCATCAATCACTGAGGTGAGATGTACATGACCAGTCAGAGAAAAATACAACCTGAGGGTTTTGCATACCTGATCTCTTCGGGGTAAGTGAGGCTGACCGAGTTGGCGAAGGTGGAGTTCCAGAACTGAGTGACCGACGTGCGAAGCTGCTTGTTCTTGTGTGGGAACAACACACACAGCAGAGGAGAGAGCAGAGCCAGCAGCTCGTTATTGAAGGGCAACGCAGAGCGGCTCTGAACGCAGCCCAGGACGTCACCAAGAAGCTTCTCCAGCTGCAGGAAAAAGAAAACATATACTTGTTAAACGTCAATAAGATGAGTTATTGTGGATTAAGGAATAGTGTGTACTTGTATTAGGATGCATAGAAATGTATTTGTCGTGTGTATCGTGAACACAAAGCACCTTTGTCAGAATCTGCGATGTGAACTCGGGCGGCTCGCTGGCTGCGTGTTTGTAGAAGAGTGAGAGAGGTTGAACCAGAGAAGCGAGCGTCTCCTGGACGACGTTGGCGAGGATGAGATTGGTGAAGAGAGCCGACATGACGGAGAGCAGCGAGACTCCTGTGGCCTCAAACGACACGTCGGGGGCCTGGAGATAAACCTCCAGACACTGGACCAGCAGGGACTGAAACGTGGACAAGTTCCCCAGAGCCTTGTTCCTCTTCCTCATCCAGTTCACAGGAGTGTGAGGAGCTGGAGGAAACAGTGAGTGAGACCGTGAATCCTCCATTTAATCACAAACATCTGGAATAAGACGAGTTTAACTTCTCTTACACTTTAGCTTCTGCTGAAACTGAGGAGAGTACGGAGAGAAGTCCACACACTCCACCATCACCTGGAGGAGGCTGGCAACTGCATTTAAAGTAGAGGGGACCTGGAGGACCAGAAATAAACATGTTAAACAAGAGTCGCTTCAAAAACACATTTAAACAAACGTCAAACTCAACGGCTAAATGTTCTTTCCGAATTTATTTTGAACATTTCTTAATATGTGGCTGAATTCAAATGTCAAAGAGAGTCATAAAAAATGAATCTTTCACGTTGAAGTACGGAGACGACAGCTTCCTCTCGACTCACCTTCAGCGCGTCTCTGTCGATCGAAGCCGCCATCTTCGCACAGAGCTCCTCGCAGCAGACGTTCTCCTCGGCCGTGACCACCAGCGCTGAGCAGCGGGCGAACACCTTGTACAGTTTGGACCACGTGGACAACATGGACTTCTGGGACGCCTGAACAAAATAAACAGATCAGATTCAAGCTGCTCCATCTGGTCGGTGTTTAAAGGTGCTAAGTGTCTAACGGACCTGCTGCAGAGGGGAGCCCCGTAGAAGGTGTGTGATGGGGAAGAGCAGCGCAGAGTGCATGGCGCTGAAGTTGTGCTCCAGAGCATCACCTTGGTTCACTTCATTAGACTGAAAAACAGAGATCACGTGTTCTGATAAGACGAGAGCTTCTAATTTTATTTCTACCTGAACTCAGATTTGTTTTTATGCCAGTTTTCCTTCTCACCTGTGTGATGGTGTCTGTGAGCGGACCGACCATCACGCTCCACATCCTCCACAGCTGCTCCTTGCTCTGCAGAGACGCGGCGCTGCCTCCGATGGCACCGAGCACCGCCTCGGCGAACGCCAGAGGGGAGGTGTGGCCCGACAGGCCGCAGCCCACCAGAGTTTGAAGGCACTGAAAGAATCTGGAGATGGAAGACATCATACATAAAAATCAGTGACACCAAAACTAACCAGATCAAATAGAAACAAAGACATGCAGCTTGGTTCAGACTCTCAGCGAAGAAAACGTCTTTAAACATGAGCTCAGATTAAACGGATATTAACTTCAGGACGTGTTTGAACGTGACGCACCTCTCGTCCTCGATGTAGGCTGAGAGCAGGCTGCTGTTGTAGAGGAGGAGGATGAGAAAAAGAGCTGGTGTTCCCTGAGGAGAGAAACAAAAAGGTTTACTCCTCATCTGTGACAAAACCTGGATGAAGTTAAGGACCAAGAAAGACATTTAACTCACATTGAGCACGTCCATCTTGCCGACCTGGTAAGAGGCAGAGCCAAGAACTCTCTGAGGAATTCCCTTCAGCGTGGCCTCCAGCAGAACCTGAGGAGAAAGATCAGCAGACGACAGAGACACATTCAACTGAGAGAACTTCAACAGGACAATTAATACAAATTCTAACTCATTCAAGTCAACTTTAATTCAAACAAAGTGTCAACACAGGTGAAATAAAATGATTTTTACAGAGAAGAAAACTAAATAACTTTGAGTTTAAGTTGTGAATCAGACTTTACTAGTTCTGATTTAATTCTTATTTATCGTAAAAGTTCAAAATGCAGATTAGGAAAATACACATATATAACAGAATATGAAGTTTGATCTTACCAGGACTTTGTCAGCAGGCAGAGCTTCTGAGGTGACGATGCTCTGCAGGGCCTGAAGCATCAGGGTGAGAACTTCACAGCCCTGACGCTCCTTCTTGCTGCCTCCTAACAAACACAGATTCAGTTCAATGAAGACGAACACAGATTCTTTAAAATACCTTTTCATCAGAGTCTGAATTCAAAGAAGAGCGTCATCATTGGGGACAAACCCCTCAGCGGATTCTTCTCTTCACAGACGTCCCCCGACCACAAGGGCCCGGACGCTCAGACTTAAACTGATGACGGTGAGAGTGGGTCGGGCAGGAGACGAGGACGAGGTCTCACCGGTCCTGCTCCGACTGACAGAGCCCAGACCCAATCAGATTGCTTTCTGTGGCGCTACGAGGCGGGGCCCACAGCTTTAGGAGCCCACCCAGCTGAGCAGCAGCCACAACGGAGGAAACACTGATTTGACACATGAAGACAAAGCAGTGGAAACCTCCGACATGTCCCACAAGACAACTTCTCTAAGACACTTCATCTGAACACTCACCAGACTCTATGGTCATGTTGACAAAACGCACAAGACTCGTCCATAAAACGTTCAGAAGAGCATCTGCAGGAGAAGAGAAGAAATGTAAACCACGTCTTCATAAAGAAACAGTGGAAACTGTCCAGACACACGTTTAGTCCAACGTTTACCTGGAGCGTCTTTGCCGACATTGATGAATCCATCTCTGATGTTTGAGATGAGAACAGCAGCATGTTTGGAGAAGGAGGAGGCGCCGGAGACGAGCGGGTGGTTCAGGGGCTCTGGAGAGAAAAGATGATTAAGATTAGAAACCCGATAATGGAAGTTTTTGATTATTAGTGTTTATTCATCTACTCAACACACAGAAAATAACTTAAACTGCCAACTAGGGTTTTAGTCTGTTGATAAAACAAAACGACAAACAGCCGTGGACACGAGCGGCTCCGACACTCACCGAGACTCAGGGTGAGTTTTCTTTTTGCTGCCGTGGCAACAGTCTCGGGTCCCAGAAAATAGTTGAGCAGCATCTCCAGGCCGAGCAGCTGGATGGAGGGGAAGGTGGTGGGGACCTGGACGCTGGAGTTCAGGCTCATTCGAGACGTGTTGGCTGGACTGTTGAAGCCCGGAGTGGCCGCTGTCGGGAGGGGGAGAAGAATAAGATTAAAAATACACCAGCTACCATGACATGGAGGAGCCTGGGTGGAGGGAGACGGGTGTATCAACGTACCGGTTTTGGGTGTTCCAGGTGTAACGGCACCATTTTGGGTGACGGCTCTAGACGGAGTGGACGGGACCGAGGGGGAGTCACATCCGATGGTGCACTGCAGCAAAGGCACGGAAACCTGCGGAGAGGTTCAGATATGTTCAGGCTTCTGCTCAGAATGTGAAGACGGTTCAACAAGAGGGAGGGAGATGAGGGGAATTCTGACCTGATCGAAGTTGGACGACAGGTTGGGTCCCAGTTGCACCACCAGGTACCACCACACCTCCACCTTGGTGAGCAGCAGAGCTTCTGTCCTGACGTGGATGGACGCGAGCGGCTGCATCAGGAGCTTCATGCGTTTGGCGCTGCACAGGATGTCTGCAGGAAAAGTGAAATTAAAACTTTGGTCTTTATCTCCAACTCCGGCTACGAATTCTTGACGTCAGAGAAATTCTCACCTGGATTGAGGGAGAAGTTGTCGATGAGGCTTTTCCAGGCGATGAAGGCGATCTTCTTGATAGTGGGAGAGGAGCTGCGGAATCCGAGCTCCTCCAGATGCAGCAGAGAGTTGATGAAGGGACCTCCTCTGTGCAGCATCTGCGTGACAGAAACATTTTAAATCGGTTGCTCGAATTCCGTTTGTTTACGAGTCAATGTGTGAGATGCTGAGAAACACAGAATTTACACTTCACCTTCCCGAGCAGCTTCACAAATAGAGGCCAGAGCTTCAGGACGTTCATTTCATTCTTGGACATGAAAAGCTTCTGCAGCTCTGGGATCAGTTTCTGTGAAGACAGGCGCAGATTTGTTTTCTCACGTCACTCAAATGATGGAGCTGAACGTTTTCGGCTCATTGTGGCAGCTCGCATTTTCACAGTTACTCACCGACGACATCATCGGTTCGATGATAGCGGCCACCTCCGTCTGTTTCTCCAGCAGAAGGTGCATCCCCATCTCCATGGCGGCCGCTGCGCGTAGACGCACCTTGGAGGCGGAGTGAACGACCAGAGGAATGATCAGCTTCGCCCATCGCACTGCTCCATCGCCCATCGGAGCCGGAACCTGCTCCAGCATCCTTTACATAAAACGATCAATGGACTATGATAAAAGAACAAAACGGTCACGAAGCAGTGCTGCTGTGTTTTCTACGTGGTCGGATTCTGAGGTGGAACGTCGTGTAAGTTTTATTGACCAACACAAGAGTTCAGTATGACCTCCGTAAGTCATTGTGGCGGCTTTTTAGATGAATAAACATTTAAAACACCATATTTTAAATTTGTCTCGAAGTCTCAATGATCACATGTCAACATTCCTGGAACAAAAATCACAGATTGTTCCTTTCTCTCAAATAACACACAACATATTTCTACAGCTCCATCACAATCAAGGAGCCTGGAGTTAATGATTCTGACCAGTCACCTGATGATAACGTTCAAGGCTTCATGCTCCATGACAACAGACTGGATGTCTTCTCTGCTCCACACACTCTCCAGAGTTCCCAGTATGGACGACACCTGAGAAACCAAAGACCAACGTGGATCAGTGTCGACGTGTTTCATCTTTAAACCAAAAGAAAACCTGCACCTCATCTCTGTTTTATTTTCCTGAATTCAAATCTCCGCTCACTTTTTTGGAAACTACATCTGGAGGAAAGCTCTGTTTGGAGATGACCCATAATGCTCTGGTGCATGTGTTCTTGTCCGTCGACTTCACCACCAGGGAGCAAAGTGCTGACAGTATTTCTGCGGCAAAGGCTTCTGGGAGACAAAGAGCATCACCATGAGCAGTGACTTCATGCCCATAACAAAGAAATGTAACCCCAGCAGGTCTATAATACTGAGGAAGTATAAAATATGGGAATGAACGTACCAGGCACTCCGGAGACAACGTGAGAATGGTACACGCAAAAGCCCAACGCCTGCAGGGCGGCTTGACTCAGCTCTGCGTTCGGACTGGTGATGTGGATCTGGAATCAACGTCGAGATGATCAGATGTTGCAGCAAGTGTAAAAAACTTCAGAATCAAAATGGGAAACTCCTCTGGTTTTACATGAAGCGCAAAAAAGAGACTCACCAAGAGGACTTTACCGAGACGGGAAAAGTGCTTTTCAACTGCAGGGAGAAACTGGCGAGCTTCTTCTCCACTGAGGCGACTGCAAAGGACAAAGACGAGTTATTTTCATGTTGCAACCGAGTCCGTGTCCATTTGTCCAACTTCGTGGAGACTCACTTGGCTATGGTGAGGTAGGCGTCTGTGTGCTCGGACTGTCCAGCAGCGCTGTCCTCCAGAGACTCCAGCAGAGGGAGGAGGCTCGAGCTGCAGGGAGGCGCCGCCGTCGCCATCATTATTAGTCAAAGCCTTTTGGAAAAACACGAGAGATGCAGAAAGGTAAAGAGAGCGTTTCATCCTGAGCTGCTAGATTGTAAATTAATTCTATACAAGAGTTATAGACCTAATGTCCACATTGTCTCATGGTGGGGTTTTTTTTTTTTTAATTTATTTTACATTTCTAAATACTTCCATCCTGCACGCTGCTGCAAACTTTTACTGTTTTTAATATTCTATTTCAGGTTTAATTTGTCAAACGTGTTGTCCAGTGTGTTACAGCTCATCTCAGGCTCATGTAAACACACTTGCATGTTTCATACCTGAGGTTTGTGTGTCCACTGTTTCCAGATCTGTAAAACAAACATGATGCAGTTAGTTGAGTGTGTGTGTGTGTTTAATGCTATCACACACACACAGGAAGCACACACAAAGTCACAACAAAGTTTTCAACACACGCACACACACACACACACACACACACACACACACACACACACACACACACACACACACACT